AGATGTGCCTGGCAATAATAAGTAGCAGCATTCCATCATGATTTGAGCTGCAAGTTTGTCACAGTGAAGGAAAAAAAGTCACAGCTAGCATGAGTTTCACGTTTGTCCGTGACTGTTTTTTGTGTCTGTGTGACTCACCCCACAGCAGCAGCTCCTGTATTCTGCAGGGGTGGGCCCGGTTCCTCATTCAGCTGACCCTCCATCATGATAGGGGACAAGGAGGCAGACCAAACCTGAGTGGTGCCGAGACCTGGCACCCCAAGTCACCACTCAAAGTGTGGAGCCAGGCACAGTCCCACAATACACAGGAGATGCCACTGCTCAGGCCTGAAGTGAATGCATGGCTCCCTCTCAACCCTGGGACACAGTCCAGTAGCCACTGGTGCCTGGGGTGAGTACAAGGAGGGTGGGCTCACGCTCCAGCCCAGCCCAGCCCAATCCCACCACTAGGCCTCCCCTCTACACCAGGTTGTGATTAGGCTTGCAGTGCAGGGCAGATGGTGCTGCTACAGGTGGTTGTCAATCAGTCTTTATTCTAGAGTTTTAGAGGTCTTTGCAATATCCTGGACCCAGGCCATGAAGCACCTTGAAGTATTGAGACCTTGAACTTGATTGTCAGTTCTATGAGAAGCCTGTGTGAAGAATGGAGGACAGTTTTGATATGTTTGTGGTAGCCAGTGTTGCTGAGAATATGCACTGCAACATTCTATATTAATTGTCGTTTCCTAAGTGCTGAAGGCTTCATGCTCAGATATATTGCATTGCTGAAATCCAGCTGAGAAGTGATGATGGTATGAATAAGTATGGCCATGTCATATCTGTCAGGATGGGACACAATCTCCTACCAACTGGAGATGGTAAAAAGCATTACTCACTGATGCTGCTATATGAGAGCTTAGCATCAGTGAGAAATCCAAAGTACTCTTGAACTACTGAGTTGACCAGCTGTGGATGTGTACCTTCAACCAAAGCAGACTGTACCATGGCTGAGGACTATTCAAAATGCTCTTCTCTGCCCATCAGCATCACCTTCTGTCTTGCTTGGGTTCAGCTTCAGCCAGCTGTTGTTCATCCAGGAGCTGATCTCATCCACCCATTGGGTCATCTTGGTGGTAGTGGTGTGGCTGTATATTTTGAAGGATAGGTAGAGCTGTGTGTCAACTGCATATTGCTGGCACTTGACTCCATGTGATCTGAACAGTTCACCTACTACTTGCATCTATATGCTGAAAAGGACCAGAGAGAGAATTGATAACTCAACAAAACCCTTGGCTCAATACACAGTAGTGCTAATTGGCTCCCCTCTCCCATAGTTTGTTAGGATGTATAAAGGATGGGACAGAAAATTATACTGACGTTTTAATGCCATTGTATAAATTGATGGCAATACATGTGAAATACTATATTCAGTTCTGTTCAAGTCATAAAAAAAAGCTGTAAATTCAAGGGAGATAGATTGCAGGTATTTTCATATACAATTCTCTTACATTCCATAGTAATTTTAAGACGCTACAGGAGCAAACCATGCAAAATAGCCTCTCTAGCTTCCTCTCATAATTATTGTAAAATGTGGTTTGTTTCTCTAAGCCAGCACAATACTTTTTGCATTACTTAAAAAGCATGGGGGTTGTATCATATAGTGCTAAACACTAATAAACTGAAATCTGGTTAACCAAAAGGCAGGTTATATCTCCCAATGTTACACATGTTGCAGGCCTACAGGCATGGAACTTCAGGCTTCAATTCCAGGATCAGTCACAAGCTTCCTGTGTAACCTTGTGCAAGTCATTTAATATCTATTCGGGCACTACTGTGATCATGGGTACACTTAAGAAAATTAGGATCAGACAGGCATGGTTATCCAGAAGACTTCTCGCTGGATTAATGGATTCCCTGTGCCAGATATAAATTACAAACTGTTGACAAACACAGAACACAGATATTAAGTATTACAAGCCTCGCTAAATTAATTCTGAAAAGTGTAGACAATGTAAAGTGCAGTGTTATTAACAGAAGTGGTACACTACATTAAGGGGATCATTTTAGGAGAAAAGTCAGTCAGAGTTTAAGGCCAAAAGGGCCCTTAGATCATCTATTCCAATGGTCCCTAAACTTTCCAGGGTCACACCCCTCCTTGCCCCTATCCACACACCCCCACACTGCGCTAGCCAGGAGTTGGGCTGCGGCTCCAAGGGTGGGAGGACTGCAGACAGAGGTGAGGGGGCTGAAGGTGGGGCAGGGATGGAGCTGCAGCTGGGCCATGGTGAGGACCAGGGCCGGCTCCAGGCACCAGCTTACCAAGCAGGTGCTTAGGGCGGCCACTTCGGAGAGGGGCGGCAGGTCCAGCTGTTCGGCGGCAATTTGGCGGACGATCCCTCACTCCTGCTCAGAGCGAAGGACCTTCCGCCGAATTGCCGCCACAGATCGCGAATTTTTTTTGTTTGTTTGTTTGGCTGCTTGGGGCGGCCAAAACCCTGGAGCCGGCCCTGGTGAGGACCAGCAGTGGTGTAAAGAGATTTTGCTTTGAATGTTCTGAGATACCTTGCAGCACTTTTATAGAGGCTTGCAGAAAAACCTCAGAGGTGGCTTAAAAACACCATAAAACTTACTTCTCCTAATTAACATAATTAAGGTGGTGATAGTATCAGGACACTTTGATTTGCATAAAACAGTAATTAGTTCTAAGATTAAGGCTTTAAATAAGTAGAAATTAATGATAGTTTAAAATTAGAAAAATCCAACATGGCAGACCAAAATGGTGGAGATGGGGATAACGCAGTTTACATTTAGAGTGGAAAATTCCATCTTCAAAGGGAGGAGCTTTGCTTTGCTGAAGATGGTCAGAGGGAGGAGCTCTATCCAAGATGGCATCATAGGGAGGAGCTTAGCTTTCCAAAGATGGCATCATAGGGGAAGAGCTCTGTATCTAAAAATAGGATGACGTCAGAGGTGGAGCTAGAAGAACTAGAAACTGATTAGCTGAGATAAGCTGACCTTTAAAGAGCAACCACTATATAAGGCCGACAGCTAGCAGAGTGAGTGTAGCGGGTTTGAAGCTTTGTGGAAGAACAAAAGCTACCTGAAGAGAAGAACAAATAGTTCTGGAAAAAGCAGCAGAACTCTAAAGGTTACCATGGCAACGGCTTTCATAGAAGCTCAAGCAAGCAGCTACCTGGAGGAGCAGCAGCAGCAACTGAACCTTCTAGAAGGCAGCAGCTTTAAGGCTGCTATGCCACCGGAAGACCGGTTGCCTGTAAAGGCAACCACCAGCAGTTTCAAGACACACAGCCACGGTGACTTTCAGAAATAACAGCAACCACCATCGAGACAGAGCAGAAAGACCGAAGATGAGTCAGAGGGATTTTGGTGTGAGAGTGTAAGTCTAATTTTATGTTATTTTGTTTTGTTTTGTTTAAAAGAGTGCCTGGGTGTGTCTATTAATAAAGTTGAATGCCTGCTCCTGAATGAGATCTCCCGTACCCATCCTGCGACCACTTGGCCAGTGCTCACAGGATGTTAAATAAATATTAAATACTAAATGTTTAGTGTTAAATGTTAAGGTTTGTGTTAAGTAAATTGTTTTTCAATCTGTGACAATGGTTTCTCATATGCGCATATAGAGGCTGCGTATACTGCATTGTATTAAGTATGGTATTAGATTGTAACATTAAGACTAAAGCGTTTGTGTATGCAGGATCTTTATATGATTATTACATTGGAACTACTGTATTCTCAGTATGTGTTAGATATTTTATGCAGTCTCTCTCTTATTTTGCTGTGTCGCTTTATTGTACAATTCTTAAATGTAATTCTATTGTTTTATTAAATCCTATGTATCTTTTCTTCCTTTATTAAAATCACTAATTTTTTAAATTTCTTTTAAATAAATAATCCTTATGTTTTCAAAGAATTTCTGCTTGTGTGTGTGTCAATCCTTGAGCGGAAGGCTGTATCCGTGTCCTTTCAGGGGTTAGCAAGCCTAGCTTGCTCTGGGGAACCCTCTGCAGATCGGAGATAAGTTCCCTGATAACACCCTGGCAATTCCTTTAAGGCGGGCCACAACCTTGTTACCCTCTTGTTAAATTAGAAGTGCTATTGTAGGCTAATTTAATTGGCGTCTAAAATTTACGTTAACAGTGGCTCTGCATGCAGCCGCGGACCCAGCTGCTAGCCCTTACTGCGGCCTCTGGCTGGGGCTCCGTTCCTAGCCTGGGGCCAAGGCTGGGGACTGGGTCAGATATGGGGCCAGGAGCTGGGGCCAGGGCCAGAGCAGAGCTGGGGGAGGGGCTCCCTCCCTTGCCCACCCCTCCCCCCCGTATGGGCTGGCCCAGGCCCACCACACACCCATGAACATTTCTTCACGCTCCACAATTTGGGGACCTTTAATCAAATTTGACCTCCTGTATATCTCAGCCCACCAACACCACCCAGCACCCGCACACACAACCCGCGCACACACAACCCACCCACCTACCCACAGTTGCATGATGAGCAATTTCCAACTCTTTCAGCACAAAAAGACCTATGGATTCTCTTGAATGTTTATGTCAAACCCAACACTAATTTCTGCCATTGGTCACAAGGCATCCTGAATGCAACAAATGAGAAGTTATTTCTTAATTTTTTAAAATTCACACTGCTAATCTTCAAACCTACAAACTGAACTGGGATAGTTCAAGCCTAGCACAGAAGTGTAGCATAAACGTTAAAAGGAAGTAAGAGGATTGGAGCCACATAGCGGCTTTGTCTACACTACAGACCGTACAGTGGCACAGCTGTGCCGCTGCACTGCTGTAAGGTCTCCCATGTAGCTGCTCTATGCCAACAGAACAGAGCTCTCCCATAATTAAACCACAGCAAACAAGTGATAGTAGTTCACTCCAGCACTTTTGTCAGTCAGGGGTATTTTTTTTCCACACACCCAACCAAAAAAAGTTTTACCAACAAAAGTGATAGTGTAGACAAATCCTGAGGGAGTGTTACATAAGAAAACAAATATGCCATATGCAAAGCATTATTTTTTAATTAATCAACAAAAACCAATCAACTTTAATAATTTTGTCTGCAATTGAATTTGAGTCTTATCTAAGCAGTCTGAAAATTTTCCAGAATACAAGCACTACCTAATTTCACAGTACTGTAACACCTATCATAAAGACAACAACTAATGGGATGAATGGCCATCACAATTTGAAGTTAAAAGAAAGTTTTTTCATTTCACAAGCTTTGTAAGTAACTGCACTTAAAACAGGTATGGTTTGTCAAAAAAAATTGTCCAAGCAGAAAAGATTAACACCCAAAGACTTATGATAAAATATCACAAAGAATATATATATATATATACACACACACACAAATATATTTTTAAAGTATGAGTATTGGTTCAACACATTTCTGTTTTTTAAATAGTCACAAAGGTGTCTTTACTGATGAAAGGCTTCTAAGCGTATTCTGTTTGGATCCTCTGGATGTCTCAGTGCAATTCCATACCTCAGCAGCAGTTCAACATAAGGTGGCCAGAACGAGTCATTGATTGTCAAATATGGTTCATGTGGTGTACTCATTAATTTGTTTATAAGACGCTGGAAGATCAAGAGAATGAGATTCAAAATATGCATAAAATAGGTTGATTTTAATAAATTTTAATCAAGGAAAGGTGAACACATTGATGTCATAAGAATTGCTTACCTAAAAGATACAAAGCCTGTTCCAAATAGAAATTATTCATTAAAGAATGTTTAATTGATCTTTTAAAGTATGAAATTGTTGAATATAAAATTAAAGTTGATTATCTTCCCTTATTCAACAATATTCTAATTTCCCCCCAATAAAACAAAAGCATATATTGGATTTTAGGTATGTATATAGTTATGCAAGCCATTCAGTCAAAAGATAATAGAATGTAACTGCAATTTATTTGGTTTTTAAAATAAAAGCCCACAAAGACAATGTAGCAATTTAAGATTTAGTATTTGTTTAACAGGCTTGAGAGAAAGTTAGACAAACCTTCATTTTAGATATTTTCTCTTTTTCATACCCACCAACAGATACCACCTCTCTCTCATTTCACTGCAATATAACTCCCCAAGTGATCTCTTTTGCCAACAAAGGCTCCTTCTCCCTCGCCTTTCTTCAGACTTAAAAACAATGGAATTTCCATTATCTGACCATGAGCCAAGAAACTGCTTTCTGAGTCCCAAAAGGTTCTATTTTTGGCTTTCGGCTCCCCTTTTCCAGTCATCTTCTATTTACTTTTAACCTTAACTACTAATTTTACAGTTATGATACTCAAAGATGCATATCTTTTCACATCTTTAATGCTTTGTCATCTCCTCGCTATCTACTGCACTTGTTTGTCTTGAGCAAGTAAATCAATATATTAATCAACTTCCTTCAGTTATGTATCTCAAACAAATCTCTCCGTCCCTCCCAAGGCAAGATAAGTACCCACAAACAATTCCATCTTTTTTTTCCTCCTTGACCTAGACTTTAAAGACAGTGGAGTCAAATGCAATCTGATCATCAGCCTGGTGTCTCTGTTCCTGATCTTAGAGCCCATATATTTGTAAATCTGCCTACTGCCATCTTCACAATATTGTCTGTGAACACCACTGCCTTGACAGCCATGTTAGCCTAAATCCTCTCATGCTTTCATCCCTACTCACCTTAGCTACTGCAACTCCCTTCTTTATGGCTTCTACAAGTTCTAGCTCTCCAGACTTTAGCATATACAGAATGTTTCTGCCTGCCTTGTTCCCAATACAAAGATACATCATAATCTTCATCTCCAAATACCCTCATTGGTGACTCATTCATTTTATATTCAGATCAAAATTGCCTTCCTTCTTTCAAAACAATCCACTGATTTGCTCCAGCCTATCTACCAAAATGTTTGCTCTGTACTTCCCTGCCCCATATCTTCTATTCATCTCTCACAATATTAATTCATGATCTTTCATAAACTGTTGCTGGCGAGACTTCTCAGCAACACCCATATTCTGAAATAACCTTTACCATCATTCACTCTCTCTCTCTCTCTCCTGATTTTATTTAAATTATTTATACTTGTTTTTGTACCGTAAGCATCATGTTAGTTCTTTTTCAAAATAATTATTAGTTTAACATGAGTGGGTATCATCACTGAAGAGATTTGAAGGAGGAATGTTACACTGTGCATAGAAACATGCAACATCCCTAGAGTATGAAGCAGCACAAGAAAACTTACTGAGGCCTTGGCTACACTCAGGACTTCCCGGCAGCGCTGTGAAGCGTGAGTGTAGTCGCGCCGCCAGCGCTGCGAGAGCTCTCTTGCAGCGCTGTATGTACTCCACCTCTCTGAGGGGAATAGCTTGCAGCGCTGCGAGCGAGCGTGCAACGCTGCAGGCTCTGATTACACTCGCGCTTTACAGCGCTGTACTCGCTGCGGGCGTTTTCACACCCCTGAGCGCAGCAAGTTGCAGTGCTGTATAGCGCCAGTGTAGCCAAGGCCTGAGGCACTTCTGATAAAAATTTACAAAGGGAATTTAAGGGAACAGTATTGGCGGATTACATGTTCCTACAGGGGGAGTAATGGAACACATAAGCAGGAGTCTATGCAAAGTTACTATACAAAATGAAGTTAAATCCAAAGATAAAATATAATGTAACACCTATAGGAGTGTCTAAGAATGGCTGCCACAGTGGACTGTGGGTTTAACTAATTTTTATTTTTTTTATTTATACCTATTCTTTGCCATGGTAATGTATGTGATTCCAATTAAATAGTTGTCACTATTGGTATTGCTCTATAGCAAAAAATATATACAGTAAGAAACAGTTACTTGCTGTAAGTGTGGTTCTTCAAGATGTGATGCAGACATGGATGCAGACTGTATTCCACTCAGCCGTTTGCACGCCCAGCACACCAGAACTGCAGAAACTTGCAAAGCAGTACCTGGAGATAGGTGGCACTTACGCCTCGTGGCTGTAACTCCTCCCCTGGCTACATTAGGGGGCACCACACCAACCCTCCCTCAGTTCCTTCACACTGAATGCCCAGAATCAAGACTCCGATGCAAAAGGAGACAGAGGGTGGTTTGTGGAATACACATTTGCATCACATCTAGAAGAACCACATTTACAGCCAGTAACCATTTCTTTTTCTTTGAGTAAATGCAGCTGTGTATTCCACTTAGGTGACTCACAAACAGTCCTCCGCAGGAGGCAGTGCTCAAAGTCTACCTAAACAAGGACTGCAGGACCATTCTACCAAAGCTTGCCTCAACCCTGGAAGATGCGGTTATGGTGTAATGGTTCGCAAATGTATACATCGATGACCATGTAGCAGCCATGCAAATGTCCAATATGGAAACGTCACTCAGGAATGCTATGAACGTTGCTTGACTCTTGAAGAATGAGCTCACACCCACTGATGGGGATTAGTTGAAGCTGTTTCATATGCAGTCTTGATGCATGATGTTATCTATTTGGAGATCATCTGTGAAGAGACCGCTTGACCCTTCATGCATTCTGCACATTACGCAAATGAAGGAGGTTAAGCACAAACGGGTTTAGGCCTGTACAGATAAAAGGCTAGACATCGCCTGACATCTAATGTAGGGAGACACTGCTCCTCCAGAGATGAATGCTGCTTAGGAACGAATGCAGGTAAATATACCACCTGGTTCAAATGAAACTGAAAAACCACTTCAGACAAAAAATTTGGACGCAGTCGTAAAGCCACTTTGTCTTTGGAGAATTGTATATATAAGGAGATTCTTTCCTCAGAGCCTGCAACTCTCTCACACTCCTTGAAGATGTTATTGCTACCAGGAATGCAGTTTTCTGACACAAAAGTGGGAAGGGACAATATGTCAAGGGCTTGAACAGAGGTTCAATTAAGGCCACTAGGACCATGTTAAGATCCTGTAGAGGAACCAGCTCTTGGTCCGGGGGGGGGGGATGTAGAAAAAGAAGCCCTTTTAAGAATCTGGCTATCGTGGTATTGGAGAAGACTGAAGGGGGGCGGGGGGGGGAGATGAAATGCCAATATGATGAAATGCCAGATGCACTTTCAATTAACTAAATGCAAGCCCCAATGACTAAAAGATGCAGCAGATACTCCAAAATGTCCTGGATAGAGGCCAGCATTGGCTGGATTCCACAAGCTAATGACCACACTGAAAATTGCTTCCATTTCACCACATAGGCCATTCTGGTGGAGGATTTTCTACGGTTAAGGAAGAGATGTTGGACAGCCACTGAACATCACACTTCCTCCTCATTCAGCCATGTAGCAGCCATGTCAGGAGATGAAGGGAGCTGAGCTCAGGATGCAAGGTGAAGCCTTGGTTCTGAGTGAGCAAGTTGGGATGGGGAGGAAGCAGTATGGAAGGCTGAACAGATACTGAGAAAAGGTGGTAGAACCAGCACTGTCTTGGCCACGCTGGGGAAACGAGAATAAGCTTGGGCCAATCCACCACAAACTTGAGAATGATCAGCATCGGGGGAAAGAATAGAGGAGAGACGACTGCCAGCTGAGGAGGAAAGCGTTGGGCAGGGATCCAGTACCGAGGCCCCGTCAAGAGCAAAAGGGACGACATTTCTTGTTGTCCCTTGTAGCAAACAGGTTGATCATTGGGATGTCCCAGGCTTTGAAGATAACCCAGAGGACACTTCTCTTCAGACCGCTCATGACTCAGAGAAAAATACTTGTGAGATGGTCCGGAGAGGATTCTTAACCTCAGGTAAGTGAACGGCTATTGGAGTAATGTTCTCCTTAATGTAGACCTACCACAGCCTGATTGCTGCTAGAAAAAGTAAGCTGTAGTATGCTCCCCTTTTTGTTCGTTCACATAATATATCAAGGTGGTATTGTCAGTAAGTATGTGAACCACTGAGTCTCTGACAGTCTCAAAGTGTGACCTGCCTTGTAAATGGTTCGAAGCTCCAACATGTTGATAATGGGGTGATGCCTCCTGCTCCAACCACAGTCCCTGTACTTTTAGCAACCCCAGGTGCACCCCCCACCCCAGCACATTAGTGAGGCATCCTGGTTGGTGAGGGCTGGACAAAGGGAATGCCTTGGCAAACGTTCTCTGGATGCATCCACCACTGCAAGGAGGAAATTGAGGAAGTGGAGGAAGATGAGCCAGTCTGTCTAGATGATGAAGAGTAGGATGGGTAGACTGCCTGGAGACACATTTGAAGGGAACAAAGGCGCAAGCTTGCAAACTGAATCACCTGGGTGGAAGTGGACATGTGACCCAAGACCCTCAGACATGTCCGAACTGTCGTGGAAGCCTGAGACTGCAGACTGATGCAAAGATGGTGAACTGTCTGAAAAAAGTAGGTCAGCAGAAACACTTTCAACATCATGGAATCTAGCAGAGCCCCAGCGAACTTAATGTTTTGAGTGAGAACCATGATTAACTTCCCCGTGTTGAGGATAAGACCCAGATGGTCGAGCAAGCGCCATGTGGTGCTGACATGAGCACGAACTTCCTCTTTGGATCCATCCCTCATAACCAGTCATCCCTTCCTCTTGAGATACACCGTAACAACGGCCATGCATTTGGTAAAGTCCCGAGGGGGAAGGAGAAGAGAGGCCAAATGGAAGTATTGCATACTGAAAATGGCGTTCCACCATGACAAATAGAAAGAACTTTCTGTGGCTTGGCAAAATCCGCACATGAAAGTAGGCATCCTGAAGGTCCAAAGAAGCAAACCAGTCATTCTGAGACAATGTAGGGAGAATGGTCAATAGAGTGGCCATTAGGAACTCATGTACCTGATATATTTGTTGAGGTTGTGAAGGTCAAGGGTGGGTCTTACACCTCCCTTGGTTTTGGGTATCAGGAAGTACTGGGAGTAGAAGCCATGACCTGATGTTCCTGCAGAACCTCCTCCACTGCTCCCAAAACCAGCAGAGAGCAGACCTGTTTGAGGAGCAGTATCTCATGAGAGGGGTCCCTGAAGTGGAGGTGTGGAGAGGAACTGGATGGCATAACCTGATCTGATGGTGCTTAGGAAAGCAGGCCAGCCTGTCCCCAAACTGGGGAGGATGAGGAGAGGGGAAGCAACGACTGAAACAGTGCTCTGAAACAAGGAATCAAAATGGGTACTGGGAGGGCGTGTGGACTGGATGAACTCAGAGCCCAACTGCTTTCTGCTGTGGGATCTATCCCTCTTTCTGGGGTAGTCCCATTGCCAAGGAGGAGGAACAGGCTGGCCAAATGTATGCTGTAGACAATGCTGCTGTTGAATGCCATATTGGTGCCCTTACACTGCCGGCATGTACATCCCCAAGGACTGAAGGACTGCAGCATCTTGTCAGTTTTGCCCTCCTCTTGGTGACCGCAGAGGCCATCACCCTAGCCGAGGTGTCTGCGAGGTCTAGTTAAGATGTCCTTGGAGTCTGCGTCACTTTGACACAGCTGTCCAGTGAACAAAATCGTACTTGGACAACAAGGCTTGCTGGTTAGCAATTTTCATCTCTAAAGAAGAGAAGGTGTAAATCTTCCTGTCTATGAGGGCCAATCATTTAGAGTCCCTATCCTTGGGGATGGACATAAACCTGCCCTGTCAGGCGCTGTGGTTCACCGCAGTTGCAACTAGGGAATTTGGGACCGGATGAGAATAAAACACCTCAAATTCCCATACGGGAATGAAATGGAGCTTTTCTATGTACTTAGCCGCAGGCAATACCAAAGCTGGCATGCTCCAGAGTGCCTTAGCCAGTTCAAGAAGCCCATAATTGATAAGTATGGCGACTCTCCCAGGGGCAGATGGCAACAGGATATCCACTATTTGTGTGCGTTCTCTTGCAAGAACTCCACTTGAAAACCGACGGAAGCAACTACAAACCACAAAAGGTCTTGCTATGCATCAAAATTCTCTGGTATGGAAGAGGAGAATGAGACAGGCCGCACAGAATCATCCAAAGACGAAGAGGAGGTCCTTAACTGATCCAAAACCAGATTCTGTTCCAGGGCTGATAGACCGTGGCAGGATGACTCTGGAGGCTCCACAGGGAGGACTACAGATACCTGGGCCTGTGGCAGATCAATAGTCACTGCCAAAGCCCTGGCTGGAGATCTTGCCTTCAAGCAAGACAAAGTGTAGGACCTCACCAATAAAGGAGTATCCCACAGATTCCATGGAGACCACTAGCATGGATAAGGAATTGGTAGTCAGCCTCTGTCCTGACCACGAGACGTGTACCAATCCATCAATTCCCCCTGAGGCTGGTGAGGTGATGGAGAGTGAGAGGATGACAACCCTGACTCAGATGCTGAGGAGCCTCAGGATCCCAGGGATGAGGACAGAGAAAAACTAGAGGGAGCAAGTAACTGATCGGACTCGTCCATCCCCAGAACGAGGCAGGAAGCAGCGCTGCCAATGGAAGCAGTACCGTTGGTACCGAGCATGCTGGTGCCAGAATTGGTGTCAATCCTGATCAGCAGTGATACCCGAGTGTCCGACAGTACCAACATTGAGCAGTGAAAGCCGCCGTGGTGCCAACTGCAGTGGTGCTGAGGAGATTCCTAGTACCAAGGTCCCCTGTACCAATCCTGGCATTGGACCTGCTTCCATAACCTGTTGAAAGGGAACATTGGGGTGCAGTGCTGACAGACCCAAGGGTTCAACAGCTTGTTCAATCGATGGGGCTATAGATGACGCAGACATGGCAAACTCCTGGGCCAAAGGAGAGGTTGGGACCAAAGGGCAGAGGAGATCTGTTGCTGCCTGGTACGCTGCTGATGTGAAAACAGTCAATGCCAGTATCTCCCTCATCGGTACTGGACTCAACAGATGCTTGGTGGCCAGAACAAGAGTCAACAGTACAGTGTTTCTATTCTAACCTCCCTACTCGATACCGGGGAAGAGTTAGAGGTATCTGTGCCATCCTATACACTGGCACCAACTTTGTGCTAGTTCCTGCTTTTCCTGGGAAGTGGAAGAATCACCTGAGACCTGGAGTAGTTTTGATTGGTCTTATGCAACCTTCTCCTTGGCAGAGTAGACAGGGAACAGCTCCTCTGTTTCTTTGCAGAGGCACCTGCTCCGGAACGTGAAACGGCAGCACTCTTGGAACCCAAGGGCAATCTCCGACTTGATGAGGGCTTCAGTAACGAAGCAGGCCGCATGGCCTACTCCAGCAGTTGCTGTTTCAGGAGAAGGTCCTGAGTCACTTGAGTCCATTTGTAACACTAACATAACTAACACTATGGTACTACTAATTATATACTGCAAGGGAAAAACTAAACTAATTGAGAGGTTGTGAGGTTAAGACCACACAGAGCTCTGACTCTAGCCATGGAGGATAAGAAGGGACTAAGGGAGGATTGGGGCGGCGCCGCCTTGTGAAGCCAGGGAGGTGCTATGGCCACAAGATGTGAGCGCACCTCTCTATGGGTACTGGTAGGCAAGTTTCTCCCTCTCTGGTGCACTGGGCGCGCACACACCTAAGTGAAATACATGGCTGCATCTACTCAAAGACGCTTTATAGGGCCACATAAATGAAAATCAATACACTGATAATTTTAAAAGGTAAAGTAAACATGGATGAATTGTGGAAACATGGATGGGAATGGATACATTATTTGGTCCCAGTTCTGAATAGGAATAGCTTAGATTTACACAAACAATAAACCCTAAATTTGTGATCACAAAAGCAAAATGTGCCTCGCTTTGCATTTGTCTCTAAGAAACTATTCTCTAAGACAACAGTTTTGAAATTTAACAGGCACTGAAACTAGCACTAAATGGCTCAACAAAAACATAAAACAAAGATCAGTGACACTTAAAGTTTAGGCTACGATAATTAAAATTAAAAACAAGTCTGAATTTCTGGGACTAGTTTATTCTTTCAAACAGAAATCAGACATCTGGGTCTTTTAGTACTTTGCAGGTGTTTAAAATTAGTTAAGGGAATATGAAGAGTAATTTTAAGGTATAAGTTTTTTGAAATTATATTTCCACAGGACTTAACTCATTTGGCTACTTTAAATTTCTGATTTGCTTTCAAGCCCTACCTAATTTGGCACTAAAAGGCATGCTGAGATACTTGAGGCATGTAACATGAAGTTGAAGTTAATGACATAAGTACAAAAACTCACAGTCTGCACTTTCAAGTAAAGCATAACAATGTCATAGTGACCGGATTTTAGCATCTAAACACCAGAATGTTATAATTCTGCAGGCCTTCCCTCAGAACAACTGCTGTTCTTCATGGCGGTCTCGCTCACACAGACCCCTATAAAAAAAACCTGTATTCCCAAATACTAGGTTTAGGATAGAGAAGGTGCTGTCATCCAAACGACCTTTTTAGCTCTATCAGATTTATGTCTTGCAAATTCATAATTTATTTGGGTTTTTACAAATTATAATAGGCGTGTCCATTCAACAATAGGAGCCTGCTTGGCAATTAAAAAATATATATATACTAAAAACAGACCTATCAATTCCTATAGATCAAATCAAATAACCCAGCAATATGAATATATTAGAAATTAATTGACTTGTTGCTGCATTATATTTCAGAACCGTGTACATGCAAATAGTACAAAATATAAAAGTTAAACATTTTAGTTCAGGTTTTTTTTTTTAACCAAACCATTTTAATATTATTTTCTAATGTGAACCATTAAGTTAAGAGTTATAAAACCTGACTTAAAAAGTAGTGAATATAAAAATGACTTAAGTTTGACTTTGTATCTTAAAATTAGAAGTTTAAAAGCCTATAATTTTCCAATTCAAATTGTAGGATCAGTTTGCTAAATTATGCTTACATTTTTAAAGAGCTTAGTACCAGAAAGTTACTTTGGGTGCCCCAGGGATTAAAAGAGGAACCCAGTAAGATTTTTTTGAACACTGTTTCTATTATCTTAGTTATTTTAATTATATTATCACACACCATCATTCATTTTGCTTATATACCATTGCCGGTTTTGAGCATTGTAAGAAACAAAAAAAATGACATCACACACAAAACCATTTTACCTCTAAAATTTCATGTAACGTTACCAGTTGTACAGTTGGTTCTTCAGCTGGACTCTACAAAAGCAGCAAAAAAGATGTTCAAATTCTAACACAGTCAGAAAAGAATCTTAACTGACAAAGAAAAATTTCAATGCAAATAATTCAGAGTAATAAATAAACTGATTTTTTGAAATTTAAAAGTGTTGAGTCGTCATATTACAAGTTACATATTTTAATCCTATATTCAGCAACAAATTCAATGTAAACTCTAAACATAAATGAATGTTTCTCTTAAACTAAGTTGAAAAGAAGATATTAAATGTTACATCTGTCAAGAATGGGATTCACATTTTATTAATTCAAACATCTTATTAAAAAACATGAATGGGAGTATAAAGTACTCATTCTGTGTCTAAGATTGGTAAGAAAAATCACAAGATCAATGCCTTTAAGTAAATTTTCTAAAGTTCTGGGCAAAGAGATGTAAACATGTGATTACTGCAAAAACATTGTAATCTTGTTTTAAGAGTTCAGTCCATAGTGCCTTAATGTTTACTCTTAATTTATATTGCAATTTAATATTTTTTGGTTTAAGCCTCTAGAGGTTACCCAAATACATTTACTATGTTCAAGAAACAAAATTCAGTTTTGCCATAGGATTTTCTTTAAATGTTTTCCTTTTTTAATGTTTAATGTTATCATTTGAAATTGTCTTCATTTATCAGAGGGGTAGCCATGTTAGTCTGGATCTGTAAAAAGCAACAGAGAGTCTTGTGGCCAGGGCCGGCTCCAGGCACCAGCTTCTCAAGCAGGTGCTTGGGGCGGCCGTTCCGGACAGGGGCGGCAGTTCCAGGTATTCGGTGGCAATTCGGCAGACGGTCCCTCACTCCGCCTGGGAGTGAAGGACCTCCCACCGAATTGCCGCCGCAGATCGCGATCGCGGCTTTTTTTAGATCGCGATCGCGGTTTTTTTTTTTTTTTTGGTTTTGGCTGCTTGGGGCGGCCAAAACCCTGGAGCCGGCCCTGCTTGTGGCACTTTTAAGACTAACAGATGTTTTGGAGCATAAGCTTTCGTGGGTGAATACGTGCGTCTGACGAAGTGGGTATTCACCCACGAAAGCTTATGCTCCAATACATCTGTTAGTCTTAAAGGTGCCACAAGACTCTCTGTTGTCTTCATTTGTAACACAGAGCCAGTTCATGAGTCTTACAAGTTAAAGGATGGTCAGGATTTATGATAAACTCCAACTTTGGAGTGGAGGAAGAACTTATAAAAATTGACATAAGGCCAAATCCTACCTCCTTCCTCCATGACTGTGGAGGGTCCCCTGACAGCATCACTTCTGAGGCTCAGCTGCACCAGAGAGCATGTTTGGTAAGGGCCACAAAGGGGTGCACACACATCCCGTTGTGCTACAGAGCCCTCCTCCATGGGTTCTCCTTGCACTATGGGAGAAGGGGATGTGGAGACTATATTAGCCTATGGGCTGCAGCAGCCTCCATGGAGTGGTTCTAAAGACACTCTGCAGCCTTGGGTGATTTTTTTCTTCCTGCTCCCCTGCCCAGCATCTCACTTCTTGGGCTGGGCACTGGATTCAAGATTTGCCTTAAGGCTAGAATTGGCATATGGAGTATCAGCATGGGAGACATTTTAAACAATTGTACAAAGAGAAATTATTGGTTTGCTACTTTTAAGTCCTAAGGATGTTAGCTCAAACATTACTTTTAAAGAAGTTTTTATACTTGCAAAATTAAAAAAAAAAAAAAAAAGAAGATTTGACTTTATTTTTGGTAGACCAATGGTGTTAAATGTTTACAGTTTCTTAAATTAGGTTCCGATTCTGTAGTGTGACAAATTTAACCAGCATCATAAAGTACATCACTTTTAAGCAAGATAGCCATCACCACATGGAAAAAAGTATACTTTTTCCTTCCCACAAGTACAATTGACATATAAAATATTTCTTGTAACGTGAACTTTCAGACTGCTGTGTGTGACCAAAAGGGTGCATCTTTCTTTTGAGACTGGAGAGTTATCCTGCATTTTCAATTTAATTCTCATGCCTGCCCATATTAAGACCCCAATCTTGAATCATATGCTTCAACATTAGCAGAGATGCTAACCTTGCACTTAGACTTTCATGGATGTTTATGAAAAAAATTAAGGAGGTTGCTTGAAGCGGTCTCAAGTGCCAAATTTGCAAAGCCAAATACAGATAGGGTGTCTCAGGTAGGACCATGAAAGCTTGTAGTGCATTTTAGGTCCATTTCTATGAATGTTAGAGTAATAACAGCGGTACAAGCTGAAGTAACATTTAGTAACATCAACAGCCATGATCAGAGGTCTGACCACGATATTGGCTATATTCTCGGTCCTTTGCAAGCATTTCTAAAACCATTCCATATTTATTTTACCATATTTGGCTCATTTTGTCAGTGGGGTTTGGGGTGCTGGATTCACCGCACAAGCCACAGGATGTGTGTTGCACTCCAACTGCTCCCATAGACCCTGCTGGACTATATTACTGTGCTCTAGATACCTGGAGTGTGCCAGCAGGGGCACACAGAGCAGTTAGAATGCAACACGCAGCCTGTGGCTTGCTTGGTTGCAGTGTGCCAACCCATTCAAAATGGTCACAGCTTGCCTCCTATCAGAATGATCCTCACTCTGCAGTCTTTGCATGTGCCACAGGGACAGGAATGCCCTCAGAAATTTCTCTCATGGTATGCTGTGAGGGAGTCATCCTGCCCCTAGGGGACGGTGGGACACTGGATGCTGAAGTGGAGTTGCTGGCTGGGCTGAAAGAAGGATTAGGTGGGTTTCAGAAAGCTGGGAAAGGGACTTGTTAGGGTGGAGTTGAGGGATAAGAGATAGGGATGAAGGGGGCTGTTTGGTGGGGTTGGGGGTAAAAGAGGAGTAGCTGCCCAGTGTCAGCTGGCTCATGGAGACGAGGCACCAATACCAGATGTAGGCAGTGCTTGATGGGTGGTGGTTACTTACTGGTGCTGCAGGCAACTGCTTGTAATGTCACATACCCAGAGGTGCCCATCCAGACCAGGTACTGGCAGTCATGCTGAGGGAGAAGTTGCAGGGATACCAGCATGTCATCCCTGCCACATGCTGCTTGTGCTCTCAGCTGAGCTCCGTGCTCCCTGTGGCGGTTGGTTACGCAGCAGCCACTTTTTGGGCTCCTGCCAGGAGAGCTCACCCATGCAACTGAGGAGCTACCCTGCAAGCCTCTCCCAGCCCGACTGACACAATGGTGGCACTTGACATGTGTACGGCTAGGCTGCAGGCATGCTTGCACAGGGGTGCTGGCAGTGGAGAAGAACACCCCTGCAGATGCAGCACTGTGTTCATCAGACCCAAGTGGTGAATGACATGCAACACATACATAATCTTCCTAATTTTTCGATATATTTGCAAAATTCGTAGATTTATATCTGATTTGATAATTTTGTAATCACATTTAAAAATCGGGAGAATTATTAAAAATTAGGGAGAGTTGGCAGCTCTGCATTAGGCATGCAAGAGGCCTCTTTGAGATCAATGGGATTACTCATGCTTAAAGTTAAGCATATGCTTAAGAGTTTGCCAGATTGGGGCCTATGAAACGAACCAGCTGCTGACAATGGTTGTCAATAATGGGTCCCTTTGAAGCAGTGTGGAAAATGGTTTAACTACTAATGCAGACAAGGACAAAGTATGTGAATTACTATTAAATTAAGGTTACAGCTATAACATGGCTGAAAGCAGCTGTCTCTCTTTTTCAGTTCAGGAGCAGTTCAACCATTCCCTATACTGGTTCTGGGAATCTGATGCTGAACAGACAAGGCCCAAGTGTCCTCAAGAGCCCAACTGAGAACCTTACTAGTTTTTTAGTTTTTGTAGCTATTCTTTTAAACATTAATGATAAAGTATTTGATTTTACTATGGACTTTAATTTTATTATTTAAAATGCTCCCTGACTGCCTATTTTCCCTGAAGTTTAAAGATGACTTTTAGCTCAGTTTCCCTGAGTAGGAAGTTGAGATTAATATTCTAAACTATTCTCTGTAACACTTTTGTGCCAACAATATTGCTGAAGAATTAAAATTTGCCTTTGAAGAAAAATATGAAACTATCCAGATGGGAGCAGGGTAGACTAATTTAGAACTTGTTTCACTAAGCCCCCATACCAGCCCTCTATGATATAATTAAACTTTGAAAGGTATCACTTAGACAACAAGAACAGTTGTAGGAAGTGACTCGGACATTAAGGTCAGAAGGGACCATCATGATCATCTAGTCTGACCTCCTGCACATTATAGGCCACAGAACTTCACCCACCCACTCCTGTAATAGACCCATAACCTCTGGCTGAGTTACTGAAGTCCTCAAATCATGATTTAAAGACTTCAAGTTACAGAGAATCCACCATTTACACTAGTTTAAACCTGCAAGTGACCAGTGACCTGTGCTGCAGAGGAAGGCAAAAATCCCCCAGGGTCTCTGCCAATCTGACCAAGGAGAAAATTCCTTCACGACCACAAATATGGCAGTCAGTTGGACCCTGAGCATTTCAGCATGACCCAACAGCTAGGTAACTGGGAAAGAATTCTCTATAGTAACTCAGAGTTCTCCTCATCCAGTATCCCATCAACAGCCATTGAGGATATTTGCTACTAGTAGTCACAGATCAGCTCTATACCACTGCAGGCAGTCTCATCATACCATCCACTCCATGAACTTATCAAGCTCATTCTTGAAGCCACTTAATTTTTTTGCCCCCATTGCTCCCCTTGAAAGGTTGTTCCAGAACTTCACTCCTCTGATGGTTAGAAATCTTCATCTAATTTCAAGTCTAAATTTGTTGATGGTCAGTTTATAGCCATCTGCTCTTGTGTCAACATTGGCACTTAACTTAAATACCTCCTCTCCCTCTCTGGTATTTATCACTCTGATGTATTTATAGAGAGCAATCATATCTCCCCTTCAGCCTTCGTTTGGTTAGGCTAAACAAGCCAAGCTCTTTGAGTCTCCTCTCATAAGGTAGATTTTCCATTCCTCTGATCATTCTAGTAGCCCTTCTCTGCACATGCTCCAGTTTGAATTAATCTTTCTTAAATGTGGGAGACCAGAATTGCACACAGTATTCCAGATGAGGTCTCACCAGTGCCTCGTACAATGGTACCAAAACTACATGTATGACTTAAATACTGTTTCCACCTTTCCAGCATTGTGACTTTAAAATTATATAAAACCAAGTTAAAGAAAAATTAATAAAACCCTTTCAAATTTGATAATTTTAAAGAAATCATACTTTTTTCTTCTTTTTAGCACTTTCATCTTCTTCCGGGAGAGGAAAATGTTCTTCTAGGAACTCCCCCAGAGCACTCAAGAGCTCTTCCTTATATGCCCTTATTTTCAGCATTTTACTTTTCAGTTCTTGTAACGTTCTAAAAACCCAATGTAAAAATAAAGTTTAACTGATGTGACATGTAATTCAATAAAAAGGTACTGTTGCTACAGTAATGGCATTAATAACCCAAATATCACAAAGTGCAAGTGCAGCCTGTAGCATATTTGCAACCTAGATTTCAAATGTATTTTATTACTTGATTATTTGATCTTTACCAAAGATATCAAACATTAATATTAGATTTTTAAAATCTATTTTAATTGTCATACTAATATTCAATCCTTTCACTTTTTTTGCTGGAAAAAAGCACCACAAATACCTTTTTTCAGAAAATTGTACCACTTGATTTTTCATTTCTTCATGTGTTACATCAAGAGCATCTACCAATTGCTGCTGCTCATCCAGCCACTGCTGTTCTCTTTAAACATAAAAGTGAGAAAAAAAAATGAGAGAGGGAACAATGGATAATTAGACGTTTTCAGACCTACCAAAACAATGATTCTCACTTGATTTTCTAACAAAATTGTATGACATTCATAAGCTCAATTCACTTTATACCTTTTCATGTCTTCCTTCAGCTTTTTATTCTTTGACTGAACTGTAGACAGCACCATTTCAAGATCATGGTCTACTTTCTGCAACTACAAAATTGGAAATTGAAGTGTATATTATGGAGAAATGCAACTCTATTAGTGCTATGTAAAACAAAACCTGATAGTGCTGTTGTGGTATCACTCAGATACCACAGTGACGGGAACCAAAATTATCTTGACAGACAAATCAGTAACAACCCACATCTCACATAATAGTATACTGAAAAACTAATAGTTGGCAGAACAACAATTACGGCACTCCAAAGTGAGAACATCTCAAAGAATGGGTGATTACTCTTACTAATCAAACTGACGATGAATGAGGTATTCATATCTTGGATAGGGAAATTGTACAAGTAATAAGACACTGCATTCTGATTCACTTCAGACTATTTCTCAGTAAAGAAATTTAGAGCTTGACTCTGTCAGAGACTCCGTGCCATCCACTCCACATAGGAGTGGGCAGTATCCAACACCTCATTGGACTGGGTCCTTAGTTGATGCATGGCTTACTAAGACTAACACTGAGATGCTCTCTGTCCTTTTGAGATTGATGTGGCTCCCTTAATAAGTTTGGGGCTGTCCACTACACACTATCTTTAGATGATTTTGTGTCCCTGTGTAGGAGTTCCCTGAGGTTTGTCTCCCAGATGGTGGGAGAACCTGATTGCGCCCAGTTACTTGCACTGGGAGGTTCTGGCACGGCCCTAGTTCCTTACTTCTTAGCTAGGCCCTTACCCTTTGCGGGACTTCACTCCCTGTAGGGACAGGCTCCAGGAGTAATCCCAGCAGTCTCCTTTTCAGCAATCCTGCTCCTTCATCTCAGCTGACTGCAGCTGCCTTCCTTTTAAAGGCCTCCCATCTAGCCCTGCCCCCATACCCTGTCTAGCACCTTCCTCATCAGTGTGGGGTCTATACACCCCATCACAGTCCCTTTATTATGTAATTATAAAATAAAATTTAAATTTGGCTCACAACAAATACAAATGAAATATAGAAAATATTCCCCAGGAGCAGAAGGGTTTTATATACACAGGATTTATGAGAAATGCAGTATCCCTCAGCTAAACTAACCACAAAATGGAATGTCAAACCAAACATGTATTGGAGAGGATATTCACTCAAAGGAAAATACATAGCCAATCTTTTTGTTAAAAGAGCATTTGTATTGGTAGTTTGGTTCCCTGGCCTGACTGATACAAGGCAGAGGAAAGTTGCTGGGAGGTAGCCAAACCAAAAAGGTAGGTGAAGCAAAAGTTATTTTTAAACAAAACCCATATAATCTAAATGTGTCTTTATGTGTTAGCCAAAGTATAACTATTCATTTCAATGTTATAGCCACAAGAATATTCCCAGCTAATGTTACATACCAATGTCCAACCAATATATTGAAATGCTACCACTAACACATTCTTTATTTGTCCTTTCTCCCCCAGTCTGGAAGAACTCAAATAGATATTTGCATATATTATTCCTACAGAACTCAGAGTACTGCCTCTTCTGCACAGCACATTTTTTTAAAATCATATCTTAAACATAAAAGACACGATATAATAAATTCTGGTAAAAAGATCATTTTCACTACAACTAAAAATATTCAGTACTTACAACAAGCTTCAGGAAAAAGCAAATTAAAAAATTAATAGTGCTCAAATAGGCACACAATTTCTTATGGCTAGCCAATCATATGAAAAGAAACTTGGAAGTAACGTCTTACAAGTAAGTTTTTTACAAGTAATGAACTAAGACACTTACCTCTTCCTTTCCTAATGCTACCAGAACATCTGGATTGGTGGAAATTACTGAAAAATAAAACAGATTGTTTTCCCTGATTTTTTTTTTAATATAAACAAATATTAATAAATTTAGCAAAATAAGCACGTCTGACTTTTGAGGAAGACATACCATTTGCATTATCATAGGGATGAAGTCAAATCTCAAAAAAATGGCCCTATCAAATGTCTAATCTGCACTGAGGAAAATATTGTTTTAATATCAATTTCCCCCATGGTACAAACTGCACACATTACTCTACAAATATCACAAACTAAATTCCAATTTTAATAAAACTTGTCTGATCGATAGGTATGACAGAACTTCCTCTAGGCTACAAGCCAAAGTTTTTGCAAAACATTTTAAATCTATGTAAGAAGATTGTTTGATACAAGGCACCTTTCTCAGGGTCTTAAGTCTTTTTTAAGAATAAGAGAAACTGAGGTAATTAGAAGAACATGAGAAGACCCTCCCCTTTGTTAAAAAAAAAAAAAAAATCTTCCACAAGGGATCAATCAACATATTCTGGAGTCATTTATAATACTTCTCTCAAAACCATCTGAACTTAGTGTTTTAGGTTATGTTTACACTAACAAAGTCACCCTTCACTCAAAAACTCCAGTTGTTCAACAGAAAGAAGAGGTAATTGGACATCATTTAAAAAAATGGATTAAATTATGGAGAGAGCTGATTGTTGTCACAGAAAGAGAGATTCTTTTTTAAAAGGTTCAAATGCAAGAGATCATCTCAGATTTCATTAATTCAGAGCTTCCAGGTTTGTTTGATAGATCTTGCAATCCCCTTCAGGAGATTTGAAGAGTTGATTAGGTGTGCCATCATCCTCCCTGCTTTGCTTATATATGAATAAAAACATGGATTTTGAGACACTAAAGCATGCATTTGCAACTTTTTATGTAATGGGAGAAATTAAAGCTACCATAGCAGCTTCAAATTGTTATAGCACCAGAAGCATATTTGTATGTCAAAATTTGGAGATCCATAATATCTCATCCTAACATAAGCAATTCCCGTGATAAAGCTTTCTTTTTACTAAAGGGGAAAGAAATTATAGCCCCTCATATAGAAGCATTAGATGTCTTCCAAAATACACAGTGCGCTTGATACATTTGCAAAAATATATCTATTTTAAAAGATTTTTAAATAAAAGTTTGGTTAAACCTCCATGAATATTGAACAAACTGTGAAGTAGTGATTTCAGCAGTGATCAGAGTATGAGCTGATACTGAAACAAGGAAGATTTCTGCACCCAAAGTGTGTTCAATTAAAGTGTGATTTAAAAAAGTGTCAGATAAAGAATTACGAGCATGTGAGACAGAAGTAAAATCATATATATACACAAAAGTTGAGTAGAGCACCCCTGAACTAAGCTGATGTTAAAGAGCTACTGGAGGCCCTGTACAGTGACTTTAATCATCATCATGGCTATATTTCGTGATGACAATGACTTGAAAATGTCTTAAATGCAGAATTAATTTAGTTAGAGTTCTGCTCTTTCCTTTCAATAGGCCAAGTTCCAGTCAATGACATTTGATATGAAGAATCCAAAGAAACCAATTTTCTACACTTTGTGATGATCAGAAATCCTTTCTATCTTGAATTATCCACTTCAGTCCATTCAAAAATCAATTGTTTCCTACCGCTTCCTTCAACTTTAAGCATTTCTACCTAAGTACTTATATGCCTCCTTTAATTGTAATATCTGAGTGCCCATCAAGTATTTAAAAATAGAAGTAACAATCTCCTGCAGAAGAGAATTCAATAGTCCACATGCAGTAAATTCTGCCTCCTGCGCTATGACCTGTGGAGGTCGTGGTTGTAGGAGAGGGAATCTCTTTAGTAGCTAGGGCCAATCCCATGAAGGACTCTGAATATCAGGATAGAGACTTTGAATTGTTCTGTATTCAATGGTGAGCCAGTGCATAGCATGGAGCACTGGGGTGATGTGCTAAAGGCAATTTTAGTCACTAGGCATATATGCTGATGCATCTTCTACCAGTTGGAGCCTTTTCCTGGTGTGTGGTTTTATTCCTACATACAAAATATACAAAAAAAAATCAAGCCTGGAGGTCACAAATGGAATAGCATGCCAATGTGTAGCATGATTGCAATGCAAAATACTACCAGATGTTAGCAATGCAAGGAATCATTACTATGCAAGCCTTTGTATGGAAACTCCAATTCAAGTGATAGGAGTCTGGCACAATATTGATACTATGCACACAAAAAAGGTACTATACATAGACCACATATGTTTTATAAACTTTAAAATGTGGTTAATTCTTATTTTGAAAAGAGAAAAATTCAAATCTATTTTAAGTGCCAACTGCTTGTTAAAAAGTTATAATTCAGCTGATTAAGCATCTCTAGAGCTATATATAGAATATCAGAAACCCAGAAAGAACAAGAGACTAAAAAGTCTTGGAAAAATAAAAATTTGCATTGTGGATTCAAGCCTGTGTGCCAAGATTTTGCCCAATGAAATTTGTAACTGCCAAGTTATAACCCCCAAAAGCAAGGTTTATAATGGAAATGCTGACAGACTCTCAATTATAGTAATTGTACTGGTTATTGCTAAAAATATACAGCAGGGTACAAGACAGCCTGACATTCAGGCTCTAATATTGAGTTGTGGCAACTTGACTAATATTCCTATCCCATATTTAGCATCATTCAGACAGCATTTTCTACTAACGAAGCATCTTCTCTCTCACAGTGAGGAATAGGTACACTGAGAAAATTCCAGATGGACACAGAACAATGAAAGCATGGCAGTTCTTTATTTACATATAATGGCCATAATCTTATGACATCTCTTAAAGTTAACCCCCACCTCCCATTCTCCAACGAAGTGGCTCAAAAGAGAGAATTATAAGTAACAAGGGAAAGCCTAGACTGCAAAAAGATAAGTTATTTATATGTTGTATGGAATATAGTTGTAGCTGAAGTAATATTACCTCACCCACTTTGTCTCTTAAGGTTATTGATACATTATAATCACAAAATTTCTGTACTATAAAATTAACATATGTAATAAGAAATCTAACCAGGTGCAAATAAATTAGAACATTATGAGCCAACTAATACTCAAATATAATGCTAAAACTATTTAATGCCACAAGAATCTATTTTTGTAACACAAATAGCTTAAGGTTTTAAAAATGATTAAATATTTATAGTAACAAAAACATCAGCAGTTATCTTAGCTAGAATAAAAATTAGAAGTGCTTGCAATCCCTATGTTACAAGGATGATCATCAGCAGTGGCCAAGAAGAAATATTCCCCCATAGGGAATAGCATTACACAATTTGGTACAATTGGTCTAATTTTGGTCTATCCTTTGTCTGAAGAATTTGGAACTGACCACTGCTAGAGACAGGTTCTCAGACCACACAAACTACTGATGCTTTCCCATTATGGAAATTTTTATCATCCTATATACTACTTTTTTTCTCCTTATATGTTTAGGAAGAGATGGTTAGGTTGCTGGTATACTGTGACCACTGCCTACCACCAATGTAGTCTCATTGATTTCTTGTACTCCTTCATCTGTCTGTATCCATCTGTTGCTTTGTCTTATATTTATTTAGCTGTAAGCTCTTTGGGGTAGAGACTGTACTTTTGTTGTGTGTTTGTACAGTACCTAGCACAATGAGGTCTTGTTCCATGACTAGGACTCATACCCAGCACAATAATACAAAATCAAAGCTATGGTGTCTTGTGGAAAGTTTAAAAAAAACATTCTATTTAATATTTATTCAGTTGATATTACATAAGGAGCAGTAACACCACCTAAATTAAGGTTGCCTAGTACTTCCCATTATAATTTTTTTTCCTTCTTCCTTTGAAGAACTAACACTTCCAAGGTACACCATAGGTACCTGAAATTTAGCAGAGGAGGAGAGGTGCCTATTACAATCTGTATTGCTGAGTTATAAACTGTTGAAAGCCACGATACACAGTTTGCATTGTGATCCAATCACTTTGGAAGCAACATAAGCTAAACTAGAATAGCTCAGTGGTTTGAGCATTGGCCTGCTAAACCTAGGGTTGTGAGTTCAATCCTTGAGAGGGCCATTTAGGGATCTGGGGCAAAAATCTGTCTGGGGATTAGTCCTGCTTTGAGCAGGGGGTTGGACTAGATGACCTCCTGAGATCCCTTCCAACCCTGATATTCTATGATAGAAAAAGCACTCTTATTCCGCGTGTGCACGCGGAGCATGCACGAGGAGAGCTATACCAGTATAATCATGCCGTTAAATTTCTTCATGTAGACAAGTTCTAAAATAAGTTTGTATGGAAAAAGGATCTTTGCTGATTAAGAATTCATCTGTTCTACCCAGAGCCAATCTTCCATTGTGGAGAATAAGACAACATTTTGGGCTATCAGCGGATATTCAGTTTTGTGTCTTCTTGTCAAATAGATTCTGTTGGATCTTGCTTTTCCAATGCCTGCCCAAATTAGGGTCTTGGGTAAACTCAAGTTAACTACAATTCAATTCAGACCAAATGGTGCTGAAGCTGGTCGGTAGAAGTTGAAATCTTGAAGAATTGATAGGGCTATGCATGTTTTGTCTGATAATGACTGCTAAGAACACAGGAAGGATGCATACCCTTTATCTCAGGGGATCTGCAAATGTTACGGAATTACTGGATCAGTAACTGCTCTTGGATTCCCAGAATGCTGTAATGGCCCAAAGTGTTTCTTATCTTTTTTTGGCCTGGTGTCTGTGACCTCTAAATCCAAAAAGGATATCGTAATGCACTGTAATTGAGTTACCCTCAAAGTTATCTTGAAAATTTCAGCTAGTAGACACTATGACAGTCCACCTCTTGACTGGAGCAGGCCAACATGAACACACCACACATATAATAAATGTTTTGCACTGCTTCTGAATCCAACACTGGATGCATTTCAAGGTATTGGTTACCTATAAAACCCTCAACACCAACAGGAGTTTTCTGCCAGAATGCTCCTGTAATTTCTATAACTAAGGGCCAGAATTCTTGATGGAGGCCCTTCAGAAATTGCTATAGAGGCTTATTGTTAACCTCCTGGAATATTATTCATCTCTTTGGTGGCCTGATTTTTAGGAGTGCTGAACACCGACAAATCCCATTCTAATGAAAGGGAGTGTTAGGCTATGTTTACACTAGAGAGCTTACAACGACACAGCTGTACTGATGCAGCTGCGCCACTGTAAGATTTCTCATGTAGCTGCTTTATGCTGACGGGAGAAAGCTCTCCCACTGACATTGTGCTGTGCAACGACCACTTATTCCAGTGAAAATTATGTCGCTTAGGAGGTGTGTTTTTTCACACCCCATGAGAGAGACAAATTTTGCTGACATAAGTGGTAGTGTAGACATAGCCTTAAGAGAGAGAAGCAGTAGTTCTAAGTTGTGAACTGCCTCAATCATTTCAACAGGTGCTAACTCAGATGTCGGTGCTACAAGGAAGAAAGCACAGAGACAAAAGTGGAAGGACACTATTGTAGGCAGTACTGTAGTTCATTTTGATTTCTGCAAGGTACCTAGGTGTGATGATGCATGCAATATAAATATTCTACATATGCACACTCAAGTGCTTGGATGAACGATGTGTTGTAAATCCAAGATAATCATATAAACTTTGGTTTAAACGAAGTCTATAAAAATATTAATAAAAATCCTTACTCTCAGGACTTCGTTTCTGCCACTGATTATACTCTGCTGTTAAAGCCTTCACTCGCACCATTAACAATGAAAGCTGTAAAACAAGAAGGGAAAAAAAAAAAAAGTATTTAAAAACTAATTCTTGAAATGTGCTGAATAGTATTTGAGTAAGATGAGACAGAACATGGTAAAAGATGATTTAGTATTCCATGAGGAAGAATCTGGAAGATACAATGGAGCACATTTTACTAGTTTTTAGAATCACTATTGCTTACAGTCTATTTCTTTTGATAATGTATAACTACTTAGAAGTTAATTATTTAGATTTATACAGAATAAAATAAAAGATCACCCAATCCAGTGCTCTGAGTGCCCTTGACAATATTTAAAAAATACACTAAAACAAAGAGACCTGTCAATTCCACCAGATCAACTCAAATAAGATTGACAACATAAGTATAACTGAAATCAATCAATCAACCTCACACACAATCCCCAGAGTCCCACACCCAGCTGTATCTTCCATTTCCTCATGAACTGGGAAGAAAAGGCAGACCTTCCAGCATGCCCTGAAAAGTGACAAATTTGGGCTGTTACGACCTGGACAGGTAAAACCCAGGATCCTAATGGAGAACACTCTGCCAACTGCCTACTATGACTGATAGAGTTTAAGGTCAGAAGGGACCATTAGATCATCTAATCCAGGGGTTCTCACAACATATTTTTTGATGGCCTTAGAGTGCGGCCACCAACTCTTGCTGGTTGGAGCTCTGAGAATTTTTCCTAAAATACTTAAGGAACTTTAGGAAAAACAAATAAACTATGCACATATACACGTCCAGATCATTGTAATTTATTTATGGAAGGTTTTTGGTTTTTTTTGCAGACTCAATAATAAAAATAATGTACAGTTGTCTCTATTCTTTACTGGACCTAAACAGAATAGAAACAAAAATAAGGTGCTCTGCATATTTATTTATTTATTTAGATTGCTAGTTAGTAAGTCTGCTATTGTGAAAAGTGATATTTGTATATTTGTTAATATCACTTTTAACAGCAGACTTACTGAGCCCTGGTATACTGGAAGACAAATTAAACCCTGGATGAGGAGGTGAATAAGGAGGCAGGGAGGCCAGTGGCAATGGGGGTCTGGAGGAAGCACCGGGGGTCAAGGTGATGGTGGGGGGTGAGTCCAGGGATGGAGCCCAAAGCCCTGTGGCTGGGGGACAGAGCCTGCCACCCACCATCCCAGGGCGGAAGTCTGAAGCCCGAGACACACTGTCCCTGGGAAGGTGGGGAACTCACACTGGTTGCTTGCTCCTACACTGTTTGTTGCTCTGGAAGGGGGTAGGGACAAACCCCTGGGCAGCCCCAGGGGAAGAGCTGGTGCTTTGCCTCTCCTCCTCCTATCCCCCACCCAAATCACAGCCCAGTATGCTGTGGCCACAAGAAAAGCCCCTGGTGGCTGCATGCAGCCACAGTGGCTGCATTTGAGAAACGCTGATCTAATCTGACCTGTGTATCACAGACTATTGATTTTACCCAGTTACCCCTGTATTGAATCTAATAACTTGTGTTTGACTAAAGCATAACTTGTAGCTGGCTAAAGCACATCTTCCAGAAAGAGATCCTATCTTGATTTGATTACAACAGAAGATGGAGAATCCACCACTTCCTGGTAGTTGGTTCCTATGGTTTGTCATTCTCACTGTTAAAATTTGAATTTGTCCGGCTTCAGCCTGCAGCCATTCTCCACTAGATTAAAGTACTTCTAGCACCTGATTTTTCTATCTGTGATGGTACTTGTACACTATAATTAAGTCACCTCTCGATCTTCTGTTTGATAAACTAAACAGATTGAGCTCTTTAAACCTCTCACTGTAAAGCACTTTCCATAGCTCTTGAATAATTTTTGTGGCTATTCTCTGCACCCTCTCCAATTTGTCAACATTTCTTTTAAAATCTGGACAACAGAACCGTATACCAGTTTCACCAAGGCCATATACAGAGGTAAAATCACCTCCCCACTTCTACAACACTGCTTATACATCCAAGGCTCGGATTAGCTCTTTTTGCATCACCCACCACACTAGGAGCTCATGTTGAACTGCTTGTCCATTCTGACCCCTAAATCCTTTTCAGTGTCACCGTTTTGCAGGATACAGTCTCCTACCCCATTCTGTAGGTATGGCTTTGTTCCTAGCTGTCGAGCTTTGCATTTGGCTGTATTAAAGTGCATTTTGTCTGAATGGGCTTAGCTTACCAAGGGATCCAGATTGTTCTGTATGACTCCCTTGTCCTCATCATTGTTATTTACCGACAATCATGTCATCTGCAAATTTTATCAGCAGTGATTTCAGATTTACTTCCAGATCACTGATGAAAAGTCTTCAGCTCACATGCCTCTGCTGATCACAACTGTGGCAGTAATGTCATGGAGAGAGAGAGGTGGATTCTTTGATAGGTAGGTCCCAGTCTTTTCTAAATCAAAACCAACAACTTAAAAATCAATCCTGAAACTAACAGGCAGCCAGTGCAGGTCACAGAACACAGGTTAGTAGCATCCATGACAACTTTCATAACATTTAAGTATACTACCTCTTATCTTATAGCAATTCAAAATCCAAACTTTTAAGTCTTCACTTTATGTGTAAGGGCCTACATACACCTCTACCCCGATATAACATGAATTCGGATATAACGCGGTAAAGCAGCGCTCGGCCGGGGGGGGGGAGGGGGAGAGGCAGGGCTGCGCACTCCAGCAGATCAAAGCACGTTCGATATAACACGGTTTCACCTATAACGCAGTAAGATTTTTTTGGCTCCCAAGGACAATGTTATATCGGGGTAGAGGTGTATTTGTATCTGTGTAAAAAAGGACTACTCCTCTGATTTAACAGAGGTTTATTATAGTAGTGTTCAGCTGCTGAAGAAAGGGCAATCAGCCCCCAGTGTACTGCTGCTGTTGAGATACACTGAGAAACTGCAGCTGGAAAACACAAAATACCATTTCAGGAGATCATATGAAAAATGAAGCTAAACAATCTTCGCTTCCATTTATCAAAATGTTTGCCGTTCCCAGTTGTAGGAGAGATGGAACAGTAATACTTTCCTCTATTTCCAGACCATTTAAAATACACTAAAATAGGTACAGGCTTTTGAATTAAAAAAAAAAAAAGTAATTTAGTAAGAAATAAAGTGTACATTTAAGTACAAAAGCTACTGTAATGATCATGCATTCCATAAAAGGTAGGGCAGACTCAAATTTGGCTTTCGCTCAGCTAAAAAATTCAAGATTAATATGCACCGTGAATCATCAGCCAAGTTCACATAATAAAAATATCAGGAATTGACAAATTAATGTCAGCTTTTCACTGCTTGAGAGAACCCATTATAGTAGTTTTAACCAAAGGAAAAAAAACATAGAAAATATAGCCACCATACAAATATCCTGCCTAGAAAGTTACTTTTATAGGATAGACAATGCCCATTCTTCTGCAATACTGTAGCACTGTCTCGGGTCACAAAAACAGACAATTCCCTTATCAGATCTTTATTTATATTTGACATGAAGAATGCACATATAAAAATCTGAGTACTTACAGTACTAGTATACAAATAAATTCTGCCAGCCAGTAGCCTTAAAATAATCATAGAGATAATTTACTTCAGCAACAGACACTAAAAAAGAAAAATTCCAGAAAAGCCCCTTACCCAAATCATACTAAGGAACACCCACCCTTATTCTTCCCCTCAAGCCCTATCAGGCAATTGGCTTTTTCAGAGTGCCCATGTGGTCATCAAATCTATTTTGGATGGGGAGCATGTTTCAAAGTCCCAGGGCCTTCATAGAGAATGCCCTGCTGGCAACACCCTTTCTTTTATAAGTAGAGGGTTATAATTTGAGTGCCTCCAGTGACTGCAGTTGGGGCAGTACGTTGCAGGGGAATAGGCAATTTCTCAGGCAGGCAGGTTCCAGGCCATTAAAGTCTTTACAGATCATGAGCAACAGGAAGCCAGGCAGATCCCAGAGCACTGTTATGTGCCCTGCTTAATAAAGTGAAGTCCCAAATAGAGCACATTACAGTAATCTAATCTTGAAGTGACAAAGGCATTGACAACAGTGGTAAGGTCAGCATCTGAAAGAAAAGGTCACAACCATTTTGCCAGCTGCAGATAATAAAAAGTAGACAGGTTACTGCTCTAATAGGATCATCTAAAGCAGCTGAGAGGCTAACATCACCCCACAAAGTTGCAAACTCTGATGGCCAATGATGGAAGCACTCTCTAGTTCCATTACCTCCACCATCATCACATCAGTCTTGTATGGGTAGAGTTTCAATCAGCTCACTCTGATCTATGCTCCAATCTCAACTGCTTGTTGGCTGAGATACTAAACCACATCATCGCCAAGTTGGATGAGATAAACACATACTGTTGGGTGTCATTACTGTACTGAGAACACAATACCCTGAGCCTGTGTACTAATCCTCTTAAATTCTATATACACGTTGAAACAGGAAGGGTGCCAGGATAGCATACTGAGGCATCCATCACACAAGAGCCCTTTAGGAAGAGGAGCAATCACCCACAACTACCCACTGTGATTTCTCCTAGAGAAAAGAATAAGGCTGCTGGAAGGTACCCCATCAACATCAATTCATGATCAATGGCATCAAATGACAGATCTAAAAATACCAGCCTGAATACCTGATTTCCATCCATCAACCAATCCAGTCAAGGCATTCTCTATGCCAAAGCCAGATTTACACACAGACTGACAAGAGTCAGAGATCAAAGGCATCTAGATACTGTGAGAGTTCTCTCACTATAACCATATCCATATACTTACTCTAAGGGAAGATGGGATACTGGCAATAATTGGCCAGATTAATATCAACCTATGACTTCTTGAGCAGAGGCTATACTAAAGCTATCTAAACCAAAAGGCAGTCTACCTTCTCTCAACACTTCCGGTACCTCAGTGAACACCCCTGAAATTACACTAACTGAACACTAGCTGAAATTCTAGCAAAGATTAGGCCTTCTGTCTCCCCAAGATTTTGGTCTTTCAAATATAAAATTGCAGAACTACTAACTGTGGTATCAAGTATCAGAGGAGTAGCCGTGTTAGTCTGAATCTGTAAAAAGCAACAGAGGGGCCTGTGGCACCTTTAAGACTAACAGAAGTATTGGAGCATAACTGTGGTATGTAACCTATCATTTCTGTACCAGATGCCTGAAGAGCAATGTGACATCAATTTTTTAAAAAGTTTCCAAAAACGATCCTGGCAATCACAGGCTGATAAGCCTAACTTCAATACAAGGGAATATGGTTGAAACTAAAGTACAAAACAGAATTATCAGACACAAACACAATTTGTTGGGGAAGACTGAACATAGCTTTTGTAAAGGGAAATCATGCCTCACCAATCTATCAGAATTCTTTGAGAGGGTCAACAAACATATGGACAAAGGTGATCCAGCGGATATAGTGTACTTGGACTTTCAGAAAGCTTTTGACAAGATCCCCCACCAAAGGCTCTTCAGCAAAGTAAGCAGCATGGGATAAAAGGGAAGATCGTCTCATGGATCAGTAACTGGTTCAAAGGAAACAAAGGGTAGGAATTAATAGTCAGTTTTTAGAAGTGAGAGAGATAAATAGTGGTGTCCCCTAAGGATCTGTACTGGGACCAGTACTGTTCAACATATTCATAAATGATTTGGAAAAGAGAGTAAACTGTGGACAGTACTTGCTTTTTAGGCAAAACAATGAATGATGCAATCTGAAGCTGGTATTGCATCATACATGATATGAATTGCATCATGTTATTCCTAGAAGTCATGGATGATGCAATCATAACGAAGCTTACATCACTCTGCTGAACAAATTGCCCTATATCAGCTCTAGAAATCATACAGTGTCGTGCTCTCTTATTTGTCAGTGTTTGATTTTGCAAAGGGACACATTTCTGTTTAGCCAAAGTGAGCAGAGATGCCTCGTACTTGTGTGAACAGTGCAGATAACTTCTGCTATGTTTGTGGTGAAGTGACTTTTGCATCACAAAAGCGCAGTATAACCACTATGGTTAAGAAAGCCTATCATCTTTATTTTGGCTGCAAAATTGGAGATCAGGACAAGAGGTGGGCCCCACACATATGCTGCAACACTTGTGCAACAAATCTTTGCCAGTGGTTGAACAGGAAAAGGAAATTATGCCTTTTGCAGTGCCAATGATTTGGAGAGAGCCAACAGATCATACCAGCAATTGTTACTTCTGCATGGTGCCTCCAGTTGGGAAAGGTGTGTCAAAAAGAAGAAAAAGTGGACTGTGCATTATCCAAACATTCCATCAGCTATACGCCCAGTACCCCACGGAGAAGGACTGCCGGTTCCTGATGCACCAGAATCATTCTCACTTGAGTCAGACGAGGAAGAGGATGAAACTTCTGGTCCTGAACCATCAATGTCACAGGACCCACATTTTCTCCCATCCTCCTCCTCTGAACCACACCTCATAACACAAGGTGAACTGAATGACCTTGTCAGGGATTTGGAACTACCCAAGAGTAAGGCAGAGCTGTTGGGCTCCAGACTACAGCAGTGGAATCTCCTGGCAGGTGATGTTAGGGTTTCCATGTTCCGTGACCGTCAAAAGGATCTTGTCCCATTCTTCTTCATGGAAGGTGATCTTGTAGCCTGCAACAACATCAATGGTGTGATGGCAGCCCTCAACATCGTTCACGATCCAGATGAGTGGAGACTGTTCATTGATTCATCGAAGACGAGTCTTAAAGCTGTTTTACTGCATAATGGCAATGTTTTGCCATCAATTCCAGTTGGTCATGCAGTCCATATGAAGGAAACCTATGACAACATGAAACAACTTTTGAGGTGCATAAACTATGACCAACATCAGTGGCAGCTTTGTGGCGATTTGAAGGTTGGTCTCTCTTGCTTGGTCTGCAGACTGGATACACAAAGTACTGCTGTTTTCTCTGCAAATGGGATAGTCGTGCAAGAGATTCCCACTACATCAAGAAAGATTGGCCACTCCGACAGTCATTAGAGCCTGGGAGGAAAAGTGTTCAGCATCCACCACTTGTTGAATCAAGGAAGATTTTGTTACCACCCTTACACATCAAGCTGGGTCTGATGAAGAACTTTGTCAAGGCCATTGACAAAACACAAGCAGCTTTCAAGTACCTCCGTGGAAAATTTCCAAGGTTAAGTGAAGCTAAGATAAAGGAAGGTGTCTTTGTTGGTCCTCAGATTCGTGAACTTCTTCGAGATGGTGCATTTGACCATGCACTGCGTGGCAAGGAAAAGACGGCATGGAAAACCTTCCAGCTAGTTGCAATAAATTTTCTCGGAAACAACAAGGCAGACAACTACAGGTTGTTGGTGGAAAACCTCTTCAAGGCATACAAAAGCCTTGGTTGCAACATGTCACTAAAGATACATTTTTTTGCACTCTCATCTAAAATTTTTTCCACCGAACTGCGGAGCAGTGAGCGACGAGCACGGCGAGCGATTTCACCAGGACATTGCAACAATGGAGAAACGCTATCAGGGCAAATGGAGCCCATCAATGCTTGCAGACTATTGCTGGACAGTGACAAGAGATGCTCCATTTAATGAATACAAGAGACAAGCCAAGAAGCGCCGAGTAGACACTGAATAGGACTAAACTATGTACATAATAGTTTTTTGCCTTTTGTTTCATAATAAATTTTATTTATATAACCCTTTTGCTGATTTTTAAAGTGTTACATAAACAGGACAGGTGAAATATTATCATGTAAAGCAACCATAAACACATGAAAAGACCTAGGTTTACAATTTATGATTAAAACTCTACTATCTACACAATATACATAGACATAAAATGTAAAAACTTAAATATCTTAGAAACAGTAGCCAATCAGTTGTTTTAATTGTCATATTTGAATTTAGCACATCAAAATACATAATAAATAGCACATTTTATCTCTGAAGCAGACGACTTCTCAAAAATTGTAGACCAGTGTTATGGGTAAGGCCGCAAGTTTGTCACGGAGGTCACAGAAGTCACGGATTCAGTGAATTTCCAGGACCTCCGTGACTTCTGCAGTGGCTGGTGTGGTTGGCCCGGGGCAGTCTCAGGCCACCGCCCCCCAGCAGCAGCAGGAGACTGGGTGTGGGGGGGGGCTCAGGGCTGGGGGTTTGGGGCTCAGGAGGAGGTGAGGGCTCTGGGCGGCACTTACCTTGTGGGGCTCCCTGGAAGCAGCAACACGTCCCACCCTACCTCAGCTCCTAGCTCGGCGTGCAGCCTGTGCCTGCAGGCACCGCCCCCGCAGCTTCCACTGGCCACGGTTCCCAGCCAATGGGAGCTATGGAACCAGTGCTTGTGGCAGGTGGAGTGCACAGAGTGAGGAGCTGCGGGAGGGAGGGACATGTTGCCGCTTCCAGGGAGCGCCATAGACTCATAGACTTTAAGGTCAGAAGGGACCATTATGATCTTCTAGTCTGACCTCCTGCACAACACAGGCCACAGAATCTCACCCACCCACTACTGTAACAAACCCCTGACCTATGTCTGAGCTACTGAAGTCTTCAACTTGTGGTTTAAAGACTTCAAGGTGCAGAGACTCTTCCAACAAGTGACCTGTGCCCCACGCTGCAGAGGAAGGTGAAAAACCCCAAGGCCTCTGCCAATCTGCCCTGGAGGAAAATTCCTTCCCGACCCCAAATATGGTGATCAGCTAAACCCTGAGCATGTGGGCAAGACTCACCAGCCAGACACCCAGAAAAGAATTCTCTGTAGTAACTCAGATCCCACCCTATCTAGTGTCCCATCACAGGCCATAATAATATTTACCACTAATAGTCAAAGATCAATTAATTGCCAAAATTAGGCTATCCCATACCATCCCCTCCATAAACTTATCAAGCTTAGTCTTGAAGCCAGATATCTTTTGCCTCCATTGCTCCCCTTGGAAGGCTATTCCAGAACTTCACTCCTCTGATGATTAGAAACCTTCGTCTAATTACAAGTCTAAACTTCCTGATGGCCAGTTTATATCCATTTGTTCTTGTGTCCACATTGGTACTGA